TACTAATGCATGAAAATCCTAACCTCAAAAAAATCACCCGTTACAAAGTGCAAAAAATAATACGATAAGCCCGTTTAAGTCGAATTGTTACAAAAAGGTTATAAAGACTAGTTTTGAATTTTTACCGTTACAGAGAAAAAAATAAATAAAATTTGCCTCTTGTTGCTTACTACAATGCAATTGAAAATAGAGCAAGGTGCATACTTTTCATCTCCCACATACAGTTTTAAAGCTTACAAACCCATGCGAAAGCAAGAGTTTCAAAAAAGATCCCGCAAGACAAGTCACGCTGGATTGCAGCTGCAGTTGCATAATGAAAGAATGGACTTTATTTTGCCTTTTAAGCATTCAATTATAGCAAATTTTGAGAATAGTTGGGTTAAAACTATAGGTAAACTGCTATCCAAAATAAAGTTATCTACTCATAGTGTCGCTTACGATAAAATTGCGGATACACAAAAGTATAAACAAAGCAAACGTCAAAATTCACTTTGCTTTTTATTCGTAACGATACATATTCTAACTCTATAGATTGGCAGGACGATGTAGCTAGTCTTTATAACCTATTTTCCCCAAAAAAACAAATCGATAAATTGTCGCTTACGATGCCATCGCAAAAAGGACTAGATATTCACGTACATTTACATAAATATATTCATCACAGGAAAATAATGAGTTAATCTTATCGAAAATATTTGCAATCGAATATATATAGGTATATATGTTAACATTTAAACGAGCTTACATTTATATGGCATACAAATGTACTTACGTGTATTTAAACAAACGGCTTTCATAATGACATCCTAGAGCTGTCAATCAAAAAAATTTAACATTAAGTGACGTGCTACTTCAGTTGTTTACAATGTTATCAATGCGATGGCGTACAATCACCCAAATCACGTCCAGACTAGAGATGTCATTTTTAGATCGATTAAATCGAGACAGATTAATCTAGCCCTACCGATTCCATTTTTTGTCGATTTTTTAGTTCCGATTCGATCGGTGAATCGATTCAAAAAAGTTGAGAATCGACATTCAATTCTTCCTCAATTGATGCATTTTGATCTAAGATTTACCTGAAAAAAAAACAATAAAATTTTAAAGAAATTTGTATTATAGGCTGGTATAATAATATAATGGGGCTTAACACCTCTCAACTTTCTAACTTGACAGAGCGAAGGCCAAAGAATTCATATTTTGCTCCTTCGAAAAAAGGGCTCCTCGAGGAAGCCTTTTGGAAATAACTCTACATAAAATTATGGCTAATACTACAACAAAAACACCGAAAGTCGGAATTTCAAACTTTTGGGATATTTTCATAAAAATTTTGCACTCAGTAGTTACTCTTTTTAGATAAAAATTTGAGTACGTATGCTTAAATTCAATCGCCGTTCGGAGTCGGCGTAAAACTGTAGGTCCCTCCACTTTGTTTGACAACATCATGGCGCACGCCACAAATCGGAGGAGAAGCTCGGCCAAACACTAACTATTATTATTATTATTAATTATACAGTTAGCGAAAACAAAAAAAAAACCTAACTAAAGAACGTCCGCATAGCAAATAAAATTTACATATACATATGTATACAAACTTAAGCTCCATTGTATTATACACTTTTTAGACTAGTGGTTCATTTCGATGTAAACCATAAATTTTTTTCTTATTTGTGATAAAAAAAGAATACAAATTTAAGCATTAAGCATAAAACTAAGCATTAAATGACAATGTTGAGCATTACGTTCATAAAAGAAGCCATTAGAACAAAATTGTATGAACGATCTATTGCAACTCCGGATTGCAAATGTACATTTTTTTTGTTCAAAATGCAGCACATAAGCGAAAAAGAAACGTTTTTACCATTACATACATTGGCATACATTTTTTGTCATTTTTATTTTTATTTTTATTTTTTCAAAGTATTTACGAATTGTTATTGGATATTGATGCCGTTATGAATGTAAGTAAGTATGCTTTAAAAATTACAATAACAGTTTAGTCAGATCGCCGTGTTTTGTTTCTTTGTAAAAATTAAGTAAAAGAGGTTATTTGATCAAATATATGAATCAATGTTGGGAGATCGATTTTTATTTTGATTCGAATCGATTCAAAAATCGATTTTTTTTATTTCGATCTGGCATCTCTAGTGCAGACAAGTAGAACTGCTTATCTATAATATGCATGTTGCGGATATTTTGCGCCTTTTGTAATTAATTGTTAAATTTTCAAGAAAACGCCTGTGCCTCTATGAACACGTACGATACACGGCGTATGAGTAACCTGCCTTTCTGGTTCATGCAAATTCATGCAAATAAATAGGGATAGGAATCCGTTGTAAATGCATGTTGTTATTGGGTATATTCAAATTGCAATTATCATGAAATTTCCTTTAAAATATCATTGAATCATAGATGCATATGTTGTAGTAAATGCATGGTTTTGCGTATTTTGCAAAAAATTCCGAACGTTCGGAATATAAATAAAGAAACTCTCGCCATGTGTTAGTATTGTTGCGGTAATTTTCCACACTTTACGGACGCTTGGGCAAATCATTGGTAATCATGAAATTATTTCGCCAAAATTGGTATCAAGTAGACACATTTTAAAACCCCAGTATTACGAATCCGGGAACGGTAATTATCTTTTTTTTATCTGTAAAAAAATAAATCCCGAACATTATTTTCGATGTTAACTGCTGGCGGCATCTTTATATCATAAAAACTAACAACTTTTCTTCTTGATTTTATGTTCTCCAAAAAAATTTTTAAAAGCGCAATAAAACCACAATGGCTTTATTTCCATTTCCATTTGGAAATACGGCCGTATCGAAATTATGGTTTTATTTCCAATCGGTAAGCGAAATAAAGCTATTATGGCCTTATGCCATAAAAATAGTTTCCTTTTCTGATTTTTTCACGTTTAATAGTTAAGTTAGTTCGGCCACATTTCAGTCTCCTAGCCCACTATGCAGGGTGCAAGGCCACCCACTCGTACAATGTATGGACCACGTACAGAAGTACCCGTTTCTTTACCAAGATGATTCCCAGACATCTGTCTTTATCCGCATGTGCCAGTGTATTGCGGCGGTCAATTAGTCGAGTAATCACGCGAAATATGTATTTCTATAATAACACTTTTTTCACTGAAACGCGTCTACCTTTCGCGTCTTTTCAACCTTATCATACTTCTGTACCGTTAATAAGCTATTGCCTTTTAGCTGAAAGAAAGAAATCGTAACAAATATATTACAGAAATATTAAACAAAAACAAACTCGTGAGAAATTTATAGCCACAAAAAGGCAGCAAAAAAGAATAATAACGAAAACAATCACTGCATGAGAAGAATAAAAAATCGGCAATAAAAGGAGCCGAACATATACATACATACATTTCTACATACACACAAATATGTATTTATGTTAGGGTGGTCCAAAAAAAGTAAAGTCAGAATTTCAATACTGCCACCACTGGGATGGTTCTATACCAAACAAAATTATCCGCCTGTTTGAAATCACAAAATATTTAGAGTATGCTTGCTAGAAGCGCTGCGTGCAACAGTAAATATTACACTAAAAAAAACCAACAATATATGTACATATTTGCGAACCATGGGACCAAAAATAGTAAAACTGCATTTTTGGGCTTTTCCCTCTGATATCAGAATTCTGTAGAATTAAAGCCGATGCACAAGGATAAGGCATGGAAAATGACCTTTTAAAATTTTATCCTGAAAGTCTTTGAAATTTTACTATAATCATTTTTGAAAAAATTATATGTTAAGCACTTATATGCACTCGACAACATCTTCGAATTTTGTTCTCTAAATTTAGTAGCTTAAAAAATAAATTTAATCAAAAGAGAATCTTGAATATCTATTCCATCTTGTGAACCAAAAAATTTTGATTTTTTTTATATTCTATTTTCTATTTCACTTGGTATTCATATTTTTATTCTACATTTCACTGAATTTTTAAATAATTTTTAGAATTAATTATTATATCTTTTAAATTACAAAGACCTTTAAAAAAATCCTGTCGCTAGACAAAAAAACTAAAAGTACAGTTTTCCTATACTTGGCCCACAGTTTTGTGATTATATTAATTTATTCGTGTGTTTCGAAATTTTCTTTTACCGCACAGTGTTTTATATGGGTAAAAATTCGTAGCATTGGTAAGGGATTGTCAATATTTTTCGATCGGGAAACTCTGTTTCTTTTCAGAAGACTTCCAATAAAAATTCCCAATTGTTTTTTTTCCATTTTGTAATACAAAAAAATTTTTATGGGTCCCCCATTGCACTTTTTAGATTTTTTTTGGGACTTATAAAAATAGTTCCTATCATGGTAGCGTTAAAAATTCGACTTTACATTTTTTTCGACCACCCTTATGCACATACGACTACGCTGATAAGTGACTCGGCCAGATTCGATGGATGGCCAGAATGTGAAGTGTTTGTGAGTGTGCACGAGTTTTATTTACATTGCATATGGTTGTCACGATACGATATTGTATTGGTATGCTGATGTTGCTGCGATTATCTGTTGCTGCCGCTTTAATATCGACGCGAGTATGAATGTCAGTCATTTTCGAGTACCGCCTGATATGTCGTCTGCGGAACGAAGTAAATTAAATATAAGTATAAATGAAATAGTTATGCTAACGTTTCGCTTAGTTGGCTTGAAATTGTCGCATGGAATACGTCCGTAAATGGCTAACCAAAAAAACGGATTTAACGCAACGTTATAACATAAAATTATTTGAAACGCAACGATTCGTTAATAAAGTGAGTGTTGATGAAAGAGAATAGAGAAGAAAACAAATGAAATTTTGTGGAAACTGTATAACAGGAAACATGACATTAAAATGAAACAAAAATGAAAAGCTAATTTTTAAATAAAATAAATGAAAGTACAATAATATATAAAATAAACTAAAAAAAAAATTATAATACATACATAAAACAACGAATAATAAGTTTTTTTAACTATAAAAGCATCATGGTGGCCATTTGGAAAATTTTTTAAATCAGAAATTCAATAAGTTCACGGTATTTATTTCTTTAAAAAGCTTCATTTCCCCCAGAAATACAAATTTCTTCTGAAATATTACACTAAAGTTATATAAATTTTTTCCTTAGAAAGCTGTTCACAATTTTTTTTTGTTAAGAAAATTTAGTATTATAATATAAAGTTTGGTTTCATAATTTGTAGGCGACTCTTTGAAAATCATAAAAATATACAAGCAAATTTAAAGGTAAATAATTAATAACAATTTCATGAACTCCGAAATTCAAAAAAAAAAATTAAAAAAATTTAAAAAGCCTTATAAAGTGATATTTTCATACAAATGATCTATTTTTAAAGCATTTAAACACTTTTTTTTATGACTTCATAAAATCAATTTTAAATCTCTAATCTCGATATTCTTTGATTTTTTTTTTTTAATAAATATATATATCTGTGGACTTTAGACAAAACAACCTCTGTGCTTTTTGTAGGTTGGAATTTGGAGTAAATTCTAAGGAATTTCCATTCAAACATTTTACATTTTTATTTAATTTTCATTAAGATATCCTCTTGAACTACTTCTGTTTATGATTAAAATTAAAAATATCATTCGAGAACTCAATGAATTATTGCTTTTAAGAAAAAATGACCTCACTGGAGAGAAGTTGTTTTGTCGAAAGTCCACTGATATGTGCTTTTCCCACTCTGTGCTCTGTTTTTCACATAAATTATTTTCCACGCTTCGCATTCAAACAAAAAACTCAAATTTCGTGGAAAAATTAACTACGGCGCTCATCGTCGCGCTGCGTACACTCACTTTTTCTCGAAAATCATCCAAAATGGTCATATAGGGAAGAACATTTGATGTTGGCTGTCTGGCTGGCTGCCTGTTGACATTTGTGAGCTACACGCAACACAACAAACATGCGATTGTTTTTTAAAAAGCTTGCTAATTGCACACAATGCAAACAAATGTCACAAATGAGTTAAAAGAAATAAAATTTTTATAAAAAAAAGTAGCAAAACAAACATTTAAGTCAGGCTGTCAGACTTGGCTACATAGTATGTATGTACATGTGTAGACAATGGCATTTGGAGAGCGCAAAAAGTCGAAGTTTACAAGTCGGTCGAACAGTCTGAGCGGCAGAGTGCATCCACTTGTTGCTTGTCGCCACCGCCGTTAGCGGAACGACCGGCGTCGTCGTCGCTTTGCCAAAACGCGTCCGCATTAGAAAGTCGGCCTTGGCACTGGCGCTCGCTCGCTAGCGCTTTGAAAACCGTTCATTAAGCAACTGCATGTGCAACGATAAGCGGGCGAGCACGCTCGAAATAACAAACGAAGTGGTGATACAAACGAATGCTTCGATGAAGTTACAAAAAACTCGACTCAATAAAACAATAGCAAAAAAAAAAAACAAAACTATTTAACTTAAAGCATACGTATAAGTAAGCACGTAAAAAATTGTGTTTGCTGCTTAATTGCTATTTGCTCGCTATGCGTTTAAACAAAGAATTAAATAATAAAACAAAATATCTATGTAATGACTTATAATTTTTAAATATGTGATTTTTATTAATTTTTTCCCCATTAGTGTAAACGGCGTTAAGTGCAGCACGACGAAATAAATTTTTGCAGTTAAATATTTTTTTGTGTGAAAAAATATATTTATAGAATCGACAAAAAAGAAAAAAAATCAAAGCTCTTACCCATACTACAACTAAACCAAAAAGCCAAGCCAAATAATCTAAAATGACGGTGATAAAAATTCGGCCAACCACTGGCAGTATGAATGTGGATACACCAACAACGCCCAAGGATGAAAACGAAGCGTTATCAAAAGGAAGTTGTAAGTAGCGATTTTTTGTTGTAGTTTTAACAACATACATAAGCTTATTTTGAGAGCACATAGGACATATTTTTTATTTTATTTATTAACTACTTCTTATTCTTTATATTAATTACGTAATATTATTAATTAGTATATATATGTATGTACACATTAATGTATAATTTTATTTTATTTATTATTTTTTGTTATTTTACTATTATTCAACAATTAAAAGGCCATAAACATCAAACAAAAACAAATTTTATTATTATTTTGAAAGTAAATTTCAGTCCATGCTGAAAATTTTAGTTGGTATTTAGTGGTGAATTTATAGTGACGATTAGTCTTCTTCCAAAATTAGGGCTGCAAACTGGTTTTGAACCGAACCGTCGCTTTTTTCGGACTTCGAACCGAACCGTTTTTTATTTTGAAATGCCAAAACCGAACCGATTCGGTTCAGAATGAAAATCCACTAAAGCATTTTTCAAGTTTTGTAATACACAACTTGGTCTAAAAAGCAACCCGTCCATTGTTTTGTTTGATGGTAACTCCGTCAGTTATAATTTCGTTCACATAAAGAATGCTTGATTTGTTATTAAGAAAATGCTTAACATTGCCAGTTAAAAAAAAAATATTCTGAAACTCGGATTTTTTTAGTTTGGATTAAAAAGTTTGAATTTTTGGTGCAATTTTGTTTTAAATTTTTAGACTTTTTCTAATTTCCCTACAAAGTTTGAAATTTGGATTTATATGCTTGTTGTTATATAATGAGCTATACTTTTAGAAAAAATTTATGAATATTAAGTCAACAAAAGAAAAATAGTCAAATGCCGCACTAATATTATTTTGACCATAGCTATATACTTGTACATATGAAGTTAAGGCCAAGTGTAAGCTCCAGCCCACCGAAAATGAGGTTTTCACCATTAGGCTAAGCTTTCTGAGGTAATTGGTTGAGCTACGCCGTACTGCGAACTTATGACTAACTTATGATTAAAATCGCTAATTGCGATCAATTACACAAATATATATGGTGGTGTTGATGCTGCGTGATCATCCAAAGCGGTAGCCTATTTTACAGTCCGGGCCACAAACAATGCGCGCGAAAAATTTCATTTAAATCCGTTTATTCTTTTTTCCCCGTGATCGAGCGACAAACATACAACATATATAATTTAGTAGTAAATATTACTAAGTAGTAAGATAAGATGAGTAAAATTAACTTTTATTTAAAAGAAATTGCGCAACCCGCTTGCAAAAAAAAAAAAAATCTTTGCAGCCACTAAAAATTTGCACCTTAGCACACTGAAATTAAACGGGCCATACTCAAAGCAATTAATGAATATTAAATAAACAAAAGGAAAACTGTCAATAGTGAGGTTCAAAAGAGTGCGCTATTTAAGTGGCAAACATTGTAGGTCCCTGTAGAGCACACCCTCAATGCTACGCACTTAAGACAAGCAAGACCTAAGTAATAAGCTAGTACGTACATATATATTTAGGCATTTTAGTTAGTAAATATCGTTGAATTTTTTTCAAAATAGATACATATATTATGGGCCCGACTATCTATCTACTCTCCATTCTCTGTCGGTCGTATTAAAAATCACGTAGTGTCACGCTTTTAATAATTACAACGTTTTCGAATACAACTGAAACTCACTCCAAACTGGCAAATAAACAGAAAGAAAACATTAAAAAAAAACCTTCGAAGTAAGAAAGCATGGGTCTAAAATCAATTTGGAGTTTGCCAAATTGCGAAAGTAGTTTTCGAAGAAAATTTGAAAATTTTCACTGTTACGCGCTCTGGTAGAAGTTTTCAAAAAAAGGTAAGTGCAGAAATGGATTCCTCGC